TTCTCCTTCCATCTCCAGGAATATGTCAGGAAAAACGTCAGGCAGGTTCCACAGATGTCAGGGTTTGCTATGAGAGTCTCTGAGGAAATGGCTGTGGTGGCCTTCCCCTCCAGAACTGCTCTTTTCTGGCTGTGCTGTCTCTGCCCCCTTTGGATGAGATTTGCAGGAGCTGAGCCTGAGCACCTCTTCTCTCGGAACTCTGGGCTTTACTGTTCTCTATGGCATCCCAGATCCTTTATCTTTAGCCTTGATGTTCCACTACATTCTTGTATTTCAGCCTTTGAAAGATTTTACTCTTTTCCTCAAACACGCACAAAAATATTGTTGGAAGTTCCACTTATTGTCAAGGCTATTGGTGCTTCCAGTTTGCTGCCAGGGGTGCAGCCCAGAACTATTTTAGGTAGATCAAGGAACATGCCCAATTAGTAGTTAATTTTCTCCTTAGATGTTCAAAGATGAGTCCTCCTGTAGTACATTAGCATAATTTAAATATATTTTTCTTAATTATTAATTATTCTAAAGCTGTGTTTGCTCATGAAGCTCTTGCTACCCTTTTGAATTCAATTATTTATAAGTAATATGTTTAGCACATGTTTTTGAGGGAGCCTAGCCCTGTAAGTCAGACACTGACTGGTGTTTTGGTGTTGGTCAAATGTCCAGTGTCAGTGCCTGTGAAACTGCCTGAAAACTCTTACAGTAAATTTCCTGAATATACCCACAGAGGGCTGGAAAGCAATGTTGTGTCACAGGTGGATTTACCGGGGTCTCAACTCATCACACTGCCCTCCTCCCTTTGGCAGCAGGAATCAGAACTTTGACCGGTTACTGTAAAAGAAAGGAACATCACTGCCTGAACTTGAAAAAAGGGAATTCTTAGTGACAATCTTCATAGCATTTGATAGTTTCTTTCCTCAGGGCCCCATCACCAGTGGAGAGGTGCGGTGCCAGGCTACAGAGTAGGTTCTGTCACCTCAGCAGAGTCCCTTGATGTCCATCTGAAGGAGGGACAGGAGCGACTGCATTTGCTCAATAGAAGAGATTTCCCTGTAAGAATCTTGGGGAATGTGTGGACCAGCAGCTCTCCCTGAACCTTTGCCCTTGCATGGGGGCCCTTTTGTGATTCCTGTTTTCAAGTTAGCATGAGGCTTGCAGCTCAGGTTTCCTGATGAGTACTGAGCTGGCAGCTTCTGAGCGTTTGCTGTCAGGAGCGAAGCTGGTGCTGGGTGAGTGCCCAGGCTGGGAGTGTCTGCTCTTTACCTGTGCACTGCCTGTGCCAGTCCCCACAGAAGGGGCTGCTGCCTTTGTGGGACTGCGACAAAGGCCAGTGCCTGACCTCGATGAGCTGAACGAAGCCAGATCCTCTGGTCCTTAGTCTGACCCTGACTTAACAGGGCACTTCTAAGCTCTGCCATCCTGATTTTGACAATGTCCTGACTAATCAGATTAACCCCAGATCTCAAGTTTATTCTTTCTCCTCATAGGTAAAGAATACAATTTTTCCTGAGAGAGATTATTTTCCAATATCCATTTATGGACATGAGTTGAATAACTAAAAACAGTTACGGTTTCATCAGAGAGATGAGCTGCTAAGGTGGAAATGGTTAGATCACAGTATTGTTTGATTGAAGGGCAGTATATGCTGCTAGGTTCTAAGTTTTTCCCTAAAGAAATCAAAAACTTGTCAGATTTCAGCCTGGATCCTTATTTATCCATATGGAAGTCTCAGTCTTATGCTGCCAAAGATTTTGCAAGCTTTTCTTAGAAGCATATTAAAACCCTACTGTTGCCATATTTCATTTGGCAATAATTACGTCCTTTTCCTCTCTTCTGGATAATATTTAGCTTTATCATAATTATTATTAGTTGCTACTGTTCTGCTGGGAGCACTAGTTTGCATTTAATTACAGATCACTTGCAAATAGCCTATGTGGCCCTGATTCAGCAAACACTTTTAGCAGGTGTGTAATTTTAGAGCAAGTGAACGAGCCCATTTGGAGTTCCATGAAGCCCTGATACATTCTGTGCCTGGCACGCACTGAGCCCTGCTCTGAAGAGTGTCTCCATGCAGGTAGGGGCTGCTGTGTGCTGCTCTGGCCCCTGATCTCTGGGTGTGAGGCTGAGGCTGCAAATTGCCACACGTGTCATAGCTTAAGTTATCACCTTGAGTGGCTCTGAGCCTGCCCCTTAGCATTAGACAGAACTCGAGGACTTCTGGACTTCCTAGAAAGAACAACAGCTTTTTGTCAGCTTGAGACAAAGCAGAACCCTCTATCTTGCATGCTTCCTTGGCTCAGAATAAATTTTAGTCCGATTCTCTGTACTAGAAGTAAAACTTGGCTAAATGACCTACCAGGCAGCAGGATATGCCAGGCACATTCACAATGTTGTATAATTTAATTGGCTACTTGGAAATGCATAATAAAATACAGGGTGTTTGAGTTATTACTTAGCTGCCTATGTAATTACTTCTGTTTAATATTTAATTGTGTTGATCTGCCTGTCTTGTCTTTGTTCCACACAGAAAATAGATCCCCCTTTTTGTCTGTTCACAGGCACTGGGCTACCGGGTAGAGGGCTTTGCAGCTAATCTTCCTGATTGTTCAAATGTCACCGTAAAATGTTTAGCATCTTGATAACTCCAAGGCTATCAAAACAGATTGGATGGTAACAATTAAAATTATGCTAACATCACTAAAACAGATATAACGGAGTGATGCTTGTTAAGCACTTAATGATCCCTTTCTCCAAGGAATTCCATTTCAATTTCTTCATGCTGCCTGATTGCTTTAGTGCATCCTGCAGGTTCTGTGCACTGCTGCTCTGTGTAATACATATTCAAACCCTTCTCTGAGCTCTCATCATGCCAATCAAGGATGCAAATGGAGTCTCTATGACTGTGTGATCAGAATTTCTTGCTTGTTTGCAAGCCTGTAAATAATGGAGTGAATAAGGATCTGATGTGTAGCAGTATAAAAGTAATCAGACCTTGTATCTGGCTTCCAGTAAACATCAGTGTGGCCCTGATCCAACCACTGCTGTCATCAATGGGAGGCTTTCATTGACTTTAATGGGAGTTGAATTAGGCCTTGTCTGAGGCTTGAAAATTCAGCTGCAGCTCTTGGGGCTGCTCCTTGTCTGGTGCAACCTAGCTTTGTGCTCCTGCAAATCAGGCAGCTGATCTGCCTCTCCCTGCCCAGGACGTGGCAGGCAGAGCCTGCCCTGAGCTGCTGTCAGCCTCACTGCAGCTTTCTGTGCCAGCCCAGCTCTGGGCTCTGCTTCATTCAGCTGTTCACTCACGAGCTTCACTGCTCTCTGAACAGTGCCTGAAATGTATAATTATCTTTGGAAAAACCTTTTACTTGAATTCTAATAATTGTTATTTTGAACTTCAGTTTTTTTATATTTTCATTGTTTATAAAGGAACAGTAGCTATTCCTTTTGCTTTACTTTAGCTGCAAGGGAAAAATGAGCCTAATTAGCAAAACCAAAAATAAATTAGGTTGATCAGAAAAGCAATTCTTGCAAATCTGCAAACCTTCCATTGCAAATGCAGATATGAAAAAGGATAAAGATTTTATGAGTGCCTTTGCTTTGGAGTTTTGTGGGGATGAATGGGTAGAGAAGAGAGTAACTGTGCGTGGAGGGAAGGCTTTTAGAATGAAACTTTGTGGATCATCTATGCTATGAACCACTTAGAGCTTTGATACCCTTCCTGTTTCTCAAGTACTACGGTGAGTATAAAAGACTTTGTAAAATTCTTTGAGCTGATTCTTACTCTGGCCTCTCAGCTTTGAAAGGATATGGCAAATACATCCTTTGGGAAGTCTTCTGGCCAGCTGAGCTCTCCAAGGATAAACTGGAATATATGCTAGATTGCTGTTCTGGACAGCTCCAGGAAAGCGTGGCGAGGCTGCGGTGGCAGCTGCACTCCCCTGAAATGTAGGGAGGGGAACTCGTGCCTGCCTCTGGGCTGTGGTGGTTGAGGCTCGCTCCTCAGCAGGGACAGTGCAGCTGCTGCTCCCCCCAGCAGGGTGAGGGTGATCTGTCCAGCTGAAAACCTGCTGGATTCTTCAGCCACAAGCTGTCCTATGTGTCGGGCAGTACTGGCTGTGCTGGGGGGCAGGAGGCACCCCCTGTCACCCCGAGCAGAGGGGTGCTGCAGCCCCTGTGCCTGGCTCGGCTGGGGCTCGGCCAGGTGCCCAGTGCCCCCAGGACAGCTGTGCTGCTGTGCCCCTGCATCTGCAGCCTTCCCTCTCCCCCTGCATCTGCAGCCTTCCCTCTCCCCCNCCCCTGCATCTGCAGCCTTCCCTCTCCCCCTGCATCTGCAGCCTTCCCTCTCCCCCGTGTGCTCCTCGGGGTCAGCACTGGGGAGCTGAGGGTGCCTCTGTGTGTCCTGCTGGCCGTTCCGGTCCAGACGTGCCTAGGAAGAACCTCCTTCCAAAAGGTCAGAAAATGTCTCCAAGTTTTAAGATTCATGTGAGAAATCCCACTTCAATCTGGCCATTGAACGTTGCTATGAATAAATGCTCTGCTGCTCCAGTTTTCAACAGAAAGGCTCCTTTCCCTGGCACTACCAGGCTTATTCTCCTTTTCAGAGCTAAGTTGGAAAACTGGAGGTTCTGCTAGCCTTTACAGGGTTTAATTTCTCTTTTGTTTTATAAAATCCTGTCTTTGGGGATGAGTTCCATAATAACCCCATTTTTAAAAAATGGTGTTTCCCACTTATCTGTTTTGCATTTGGAGGTGTTTTATTTACAGTAAATTAAAGCAAGAGTCAAAGTGGGTTTATTTTCCTATTTTCTTGTGTTCTGTATTCTGTATTTCCTGTGTATAGGCTTTAACATCTGCCCTCCATCCGCTTCCTGTGATCATGCAACATCAAATCATGCAGGAATAAGTCAGGGTGGATATTTCTGCCATGCTATGCTCTTCTTGATCATTTGACTGATAAGTATTTGTTTGTAGGTGAAAACTACCACTGCTTTTTCTTTTTTCTATAGCGACTTTGGAGTTGCACCTTTTCTCTTACGTTTAAGAGTTCCAGTTTGTGGTGATATTTAAGAAATAAAGCTGAACTCGGCCAAAACACAGAAGAATTGAAGAAGCCCACTCATCAGAAGGGAAGGATATAGCCTGACAAGTCTACAGAGTAAGGAAGGTTGTGGAGATGTGTCACTTCATTTTAATTAAACATCTGTGCATTCTCACCCACTTGTGTTCTGCGGCTTTGCTGGTGGGTAGAAGGATCTCCTCAGTGATGTTGTTTACTTTTTTTCCATGCATATTTGAGCTTACAAATTGCTTGAAAGCAATTTAACTTTTTGCATAGAAATTTCACGCAGGTGAGGGCTTTTCTGTGCTAGGGAAAGTGTGAACAGAATTTACATTTGTTGATTTTAAAGTCCTAGATCGTGGAAGCCTCCAGAACTGTCCATTAGCAATGCGTGGGGCAGTTCTTCTGCCTTTTTACCTTCTCATTTTCCACATTATTGTTTTCTACCAGATATTTTGTTGCCTGACATCTGTTTCCTGAGGAGCTGATTGTCTCTCCCATCAGCTGGCAGCATCTGCCTGTGTTTCAGCCGCGCGGGGCTGTGCTGGCAGCTCTGGTCACCAGTGTTGGTGCTGCTGTGCCCCGAGCTCAGGCGCCAGGGACGCTGCCCTTGTCGTGTCCCTGTGCCAGGAACAGCGAGGGCAGCGGGGCTGGGGCTGCTCCTGCTGCTGGGCTGGCCTGGGCTTGGCCCCTGGGCACGGCACAGCCCTGCAGGGCACCTCCCTGCCAGCCACCCACAGCGCTGCATGCACAAAACGTCACATTCAGTCCTGCAGCCTCCATGGAGCTGGTTTGTCACAGTGGCTCCTGGTGCGCTGAGATTAGATGTCCCATCACACTGCGTGTGTGTACACTTCCAGGCAGGAGCTGACCTCTCCCGTGGCTGTAATTAGAAACAATTTTCTGATTTTTCTGATGAGTTTTATTTCACAGTGTGCACGTACAGTCCACCCGCAGAAGTTTTTTTCACAAATTGAATTGTTCTCTCAAATGCAACCACATCTCCAGATGTCTTCAGAATACCCTGCTCTGTCTGTGAGAGCTGTAAAATAACTGCACGCTTATAAATTCACCTTTTTGCAGTTATTAAATGTGTTCGACTCATTCCAGCCTGTTGCTGTGGAAATAGGTACAATATAGGAACCTTGGCACAATGACAGGCAATTAAAATACCAAGATGTTTAGCCATGTATGAGTATTTTCACACAGTGAGACCTTGAAGCTTAGCCCACTGCTGACATAGTTAGTTATTGAATCAGTTGCATGAGATGAGGTTGACAGGTGTAATTATATATTTCTGTGGTGATTAAGTATGGCCTGTCATAGAGACCAGCGTGCCTGTAACTGTGCACTCATTTAGTAATCATTTATTGAGTGAAGGATTGGAGTTGGCACACCGTTTACAAGGGAAGGAAATGTAAAACAAAACAGAAGTCCATTTTGAAATATAATTGATTCATTAAACCATTTATCAATGCTTCATTTTAGTGCATGGAAATATATCTTTCTGTATTTCCTACAGATGTCACAGTTATTTAAGGATATTCTTGCACCCTGACTTTAACAAAAGAATAAAACTCTTGCGATGAGTTCATGAGAAGCTGAGCCTCAGGTCTTTAGCTGCCAAATCCTGGGAGAAGTTATGGAGCTCACTGGAGCCATCTGAATATATGATAATTTAAAAATATTTAGATTACTTGTTAAAAGAACTCAAAATCTTTCAAAATAATATCCTTTCTATGCAAACACATTTGTACAATTGTCTGCTTTGTAGTAGCTGTTCTTCAAAATGTGTTAAAAATTATACAAATATTTTTGGAATTCGTTGAAGTGAACTTGGGCTGTTGCTGGAATTCCTCAATCACTTTTCCAGATAAAAATTTTTCTGTGTAGTGACATCACTCAAAACTTTGCTGTATTATTTCCCATGTCGTTCTCCCTGGTGTTTGTGCCATCCTGATGATATGCATGAAAAGCCTCTTTTCTCAAAGTGAGAGTAGGCTGAGAGAAATGAAATATTGCTCTCAGTTTATTAACCTTGGACCTGGCTGAAGTCAAGCAAACAATTTGACTTATTTTCCACAGCCACGTCTCTCTATTACCTTATTCACAGAAATTTCTATGTCTAAGATTATCTGAGATGGGGTGGGGTTATTTGGTGGTGTTTTTGTTGAGTTTTTGGGGTTTGTTTGTTTGTTTTGGAATTTTGTTTGTTTAAAAAAGTAGCAGCTTTTAGTGCCTGCTTTAACAAAAAGAGCCCACTGTCTTTTGCAGGAAAACAGGATCCATGTGGTCTCTGGTCTTCTAGGATGGGCTGAAAAAAGCAATAGGAATTCGTAGATAGAAATAACAAAAAACACAATTTCCCCTCATTTTATAGGATACAAAAAGAACCTATTTACATAAAACTTCCATGATGTTCTTAATTAACCATCAGAATTTTTTATCTTTGTTTTTAACCAAAAGCTGTTTCTCATAGCTTTTGGGATAGATATGAGATGGTATCTATGAGATAGAGAGAAAGAAAGAATAGAGATGGTGGGGATGTGGCCAAATGATGAATATTTAGAAACTGTCCTTTGGAATCAGTAATTAAACTAGGTTCAAATGCCAAAAAGTGGATGCAAACCTAAACTTGGAAAGTTTCATCCCAAAGTTTGGAAGAGCCTTATTTCCCCAGTCTCATCTACTTAAACACGTAAGCTTCCCAGTAGGAAGCATTTGGGTTAATATTTGGGTTAATATCTGGCTTTCTAATCACATGCTTGGGAAGATAACTTTTGTTGCTTTTCTAGAGAACTTCCCAAGCGTGCAGTAAAATGCGTGCTGTTCCAAAAAAAATATCCTGAATAAAGTGATGCCTGCTGAATTGCATTTTTGTTTTTCTATTACTAAGCTAGAGTTTGAGGTTTTTTTTTTCTTTTACTTTAATGCAGTTGCATTCAGGTAGAAGAATATTTGATGTTGGAAGAGGTCTCTGGAGATCATCTCATCCAACATCCCTGCTCAGAGGAGGGTAAATTGGAGCAGGTTGCCCAGGATCGTGTCCAGGTGAGTTGTGAATATCTCCAAGGATGAGGAGAGTCCTCTTTTTTAGGTGTTCTGTTCCAGTGATCAATCACTCTTACATAAAGGTTTCTTATGTTTAAATGACATTTGCTGTATTTTGGACATTGCTGTGTTTGAAAGATACTGCCTGTCTCTTTCACTGGACACCATGGAGAAGAGTCTGGCCTTGTCCTTTCCTCCTCCAATCCATTTATAAAAATAGGTAAGATCCCAGTTCTCTCTTCTTTGTCTGTCAGATGCTCCCTTGCAGAGTCTGGGACAATCTGGAGGAGAAACACCCATTTTCTATGTGCCTGAGAAAAGGGCTCCACTCCAGTGCTGCTGGTGCACTGGAGTGGAGCCCTCTGGGGCTGCCTGCACAGGGAGGGTGGGATCAATCCTGCCCGAGGCAGACCTGGGCATTTGTAGTAAAGAACAGCCACGGGCACGAGCAGAAAAGGAGGGGGCACATACTGGAGCTGCCTGGCATTGTGCCTGTCTCCTTGGCTCAGCACCGTGCCCGTCCCACCTCTGCTCTTCCCACACGGACTGCACACCTCCCTGCCAAAGAGGGGGTCCTGGATTCTCCTCATCTCTAGCTTTAGTGCCTCCTGGGCAGCTCTAAAACCAACCCAGCTCTGAGTGAGGACAGCAAATTGGGCACAAGGCTTCAGGGGCCAGCCAGGACCTCGCACTCCTCACTGGCATCACAACACCGCCAGCTCAGAAGCAGCAGTGGCATTTTTGCAGGATACGATATGAGCAAAGGGCAGAATTTGCTTTTCCCTTGTACACTTTCTATTTTCATACCCTACTTATTTCTGACTTTAAAGTCATTCTCTGTTTTTTATTCCAGACTTGACCATGTGAATCCAGCTGTTCTCATAACTCCCGCTGCTGATGTTCTAACATGATGCAGCCATAGACTGGATCTTTCTTTTCTTTTAATGTACTTTTAAATTATCAAAAGACTAAACCTTTGAATACCACTTCTCATTTGCACGCTGGATTTGAGGCTAGAAAGCAAGTTTGCTTATTTAGTATTTGCTTTGATTTGGTGATTAGTCTTTGCTCTTAATTATTTTTACCATTTCCACATGAGTGATCAGGAAATTAACAGCTGTCTCACACTTTCAGCAAGTTAAAAACAGCCTATGGTATTTCCTTATTGACTTTTTACTTGGCCCTGTGCAGAATGTTTTAAGATGTTGCTTCTCTTGGGTTTCCCACCTCACAGCTTGAGTAATGCCACAGCTTTTAAAAATGTTTCCCTTTTGACTTGCCAAGGTGATGAAGACAAGTAAAGTCATCCAGCATAAAAGGTATATGTGAACAAAACATGAATGGAAGGTATGGGTCAAGTTACAATCCAAACAAGAAGAATATTAGAAGCAGTTTTGGAGACTGAGGAGACCAGTCCTGTGGCACACATCTGCAATGAGAAATACTGCCATCCTGGGATCCGCCGTGGTGTTTGCACACTGATAGCAAATCCTCTTAAAAAAGCGAAAATAAATGGCTTGCTGCTCCTTTTCCCACTGATGTTTTCCTTTTATCTTTTCATTCTTTTTCAAATTGGTAATGATTGTAAATCACTCCTTGCCACAAAGTGCTGTTTCCCAAGAGCAGTTATTTGATTCTTGTAATCTTATTTACTAGTTAAATTCAATAAGTGCCCAACCTATGCTCCGAATGCCTTTTTAAAATACACTAATAAACAGGCCTTGATTGCTTTTTGATTGAATTGCAGATAATGATATTTATACCATCAGTGAGTTAAGGTAATCAGCCTTCCCAGGGAGGCGTTTCCAGCACACTGAGGTCTGCACTTGGTCTGCTTGCAGCATGAGATGAGGATGAGCATGGTGGTGGCTTTCTCTGTGCTCCTGCAGTCTTGGGCTTCTGGGGCTTTAAGAGATTCGCTGCAATTGTTTGACTGTAAGACTTTTGTGGTAGAGATCTGTTTGTGCAAATAGTAAGTGTTGCAGAGTTGGACAGAAACTGCTGGGGCTGGTGTAATTTGTGGTGCTGAGCAAAGGAAAATGGTGTGCAGATCCTTTCACTTAATGTACTTTTTGTGCATGCTTTCTGATGTGAATCCTGGTTTCTTTGAAGTGGAATTTAAGGGTTAGGATTTGGGCACTGCCCAGCTGGATTGGAGTCCTCACTAGATGTGACGTGGCTGATTTGGCAGCATCTATATGTGTACTTCATTTTTGGAGGGTTTGAAGAGAGATTGGTGAAGAACTGAGTGGAGCTCATCATGATACTCCTGTCAGGGCTAGGAAAATGCCCAAGAAATATCCTGCAAGACCTTTTGCTTAGCCCGTTCTAGAGTGACACAGCAAGGGGGAAGAGACAGGAATTCCTCTGCTTTACACCAGTGTGTTTGAAAAGGCTCCTGGGCCTTTTCTGCTTGGGTGACACAATAGCCAGAGTTCTCCATCTGACATCTTTTGTCCATGGCAGAGGTCAGAGCAAATCTAACACCGGCAGAACACCTTCCACTAAGGTGATAATCGCTGTTGTTCTCGGCACGGGGCACACTAATGGCAAAACGACTGTGATGGTGTGTGCTTCTCAACCTTACAGCTCCTGAAAGGGTGCATCAGTTCCAAAGGAGAAGAAATAAAGTACTTTGCAAATGCTGCTGCAGACAGATTCTCTCTTAGTAGCCAAACCAAGATGCTTTCTTTCATTTATTTTATTTAGTCAGTGTATTAATGCCACGATGTTGCTTATAAAATCTGTTCTAGTCAGTTGTTTCAGTCTAATTGAAGACTGTAAGTAATTTAGAATCAAAGGGAATCTTTGTTTGACTGGCAAACAGCCGAAGGATGAACTCTTAGCACACCCTGGTAGATGGGAGCTGGGTGGGAAGGCAGCTTGCACGGGCTGTGCTGGGATGGGAACGGGCTGGTGCTCTGCCTGGGTGTGCTGCTAATGCCTCAATCCATCTCCTGAGCAGAGACTGAGAACATCAAACCCTGCCACAGCCTCCAGGTGACATAGTACTGTTCCTGCAACTGCTGCTCTTCAGCCAAGGTGACCCCCAGGTAAGACAAATATTTTGTTTCAAGGCTGAAATTTCAGCTGCATCTCTGACTTATTGAGAACTGGAAGTGCTTCCTCTGATTTAAGGGCTGCTGACCTCCCCTTCAGGTGGTTTGGATGTGGCAGCAAAAGGCCAATACATTCTTACAGCTGCCTTGTCTGGCTGCCGAGCTGGGTGTAATTGGACTCGTTTTTCAGTGGTTCAGATGTCAGCTGGGTGTGGGCTGAAGTTCACTGCCACGATTTATTTCAAAGGTTTTCAGAGCTGGGCTTCTGGGCCTTATTTAGGTATTGAAGTCAGTGAAGTGGTTTTTTTTTCAGTGGATTTGCTGTTGATTCAAAGATCTGGGGGAACTGTTGGGAGGTGTGTGACCTCTGAAGCCTGATTCTGTGTAGCAGGGCTAGAAGGATTTGTCCTAAAGGTTGGGAAGAGCATTTCTCAGGGCCAATGCTGAATGCCCCTCTTGGCTTATTACAAACTGCAAATTAGGAACCCTGAGCACTTTTATTTCTAATGTGTTTTTTTTTTTTCATTTGACTTGAAAACATTACTGTGGATGTTCTGACCAGCCACTCTACTATTTTAATTTTTCCCCCTTAAAGAAAAGGGATCTTTTAACATGCTCTCATGTGTCTCTGGTTTATACTAGAATTTGCAAATCAAGGCTGGTGTGACTCTAAATCTACTGCTGTGCTCCCCCTGGGAGCATCTTTTCAGCAGATGTGGCATGGAAAAATCTGGTGACTCTGCTTGAGGACAGCAATGAGTGGCAGCAGAAGTGCTTGTGATCTCCCCCCAGTCCATTCTTATTTAGAAATAATCTTTATACCCATCACAACTGCAAAACACTATTTTTAAAGAGAGAAACAAATACTCAAAAGACAGATAAGATGGTCTAATATAAAACAAAAATGAAACAGTTTCATTTTATATTTGTCAGTTGAAAATTGTACTCACAGCTTTTAAATTCTTTTGAAACAGAAATCAATATGCCAGGCTAAAGATAGTCCTAGAGGTGAACAACTCTGGGGTTTCACCTGCTGATTGTATCCCTCACCTCTTCAGATCTGCCTGAAGCCACATACCATGGCTTCTCACAGCATAACTTGGACCTCCTCTGATCAGTACATAAACATTTTGGTTGGGGAAAAATATCCAAAACTTCAGAGATTTCTATCTGTGTTGGGGAAATTGAAATGACAGATTTTTTGCTTTATTGATTCTGCTGTGGTGAGAAGTGCTTCTAGAATCTAACACACAACACAGGTTTTGTTTTGTCTTTCTCTTTTTAAAATTACTTAGTTGCAGAGGATGACTGAAGGAATGCAAATTAATCGAAACAAGCTATACTGCAGGTGGCTTAATGTGCCCATAGGCTCCTTTTTGAGGAGTGGGAGCTAATAAAGTTTGTGTGAAAACCAAGAGGAGACGCCCTGCTCCCTTTGGGATCACGCCGTGCTGCTCGGTGAGTGAGGATGTCAGGGGTCCTGCAGCCTCAGGTCCCCAGGAGCTGCTCAGGGCTCTGCTCTGGCTGCCCTTCGGGTGCTTTTGCCTTGCCCTACTCCTGCCTTACCCAAAATGAGCTCAGCAGAGCAAGCAGCAAGGGGAGAACTGTGTCATGCAGGAGCTCGGGTGTTGGAGAGGGAGGTGACAGTGTGGGACTTCGGCAAGGTCTGGGGCTGCTTTGATTTTTTTCCTATGGAGAAAGAGAACTCCCTTTGAAATGGTGTTTTTTCTCAAAAACATACTAAAATACAGCACTATCTCTGTGTGATCAGCAGCCACAGTAGCTTTGGTACCAAGTTCTGATCAAAAACATATTCCAGTGCAACTGATCCACTACTAGAAATGTGAGTCATATCTCCTTCTACCAGTGGTTTTTCATACCATTTTTGGCTCTGGTTAGTATTATCTTGTTTGACAAATACCCTGAGATTGTATGAGATGAATGCATTGTGGAATTTGTGGTGCAGCTCTTAGGAAATAAAAAGTATATTTATGAATCCTCCTTTTGCATTTGTGCCTTAGGTACGGACAGTCGGGCACAGAACATTGGCATGGAACGTGCCCCTGGAACTGGTGAGAGGCAATTATCTGCCTGGATAATTATAATTGCCACTGCACAGGGCTGGAGGGGAAGGAGGGTGCTGTTAGGGAGGTCAGAGCTGAGAGCCCTCAGCACCCTGCTGGGGCCAGGGCTGCCCATCTTCTTCTTCCTCAGGCTAGGGCTGCCCATCCTCTGCATCCTCCTGCCCTGCCCTGGCTTCTGGAGCGACCGAGCATTTCCCCATCCCTGTCTCTGCCTTCATACCTCATTTGGGAATTGTTTCTGATTGCCCAAGCATCTGCAAGTTTTAATTTCCCCCGCTTTCACAGTAACTGTGAACATTTACAAACAGAAAATGTACTGCTTGCACTCAACGTGGGAGTTTGGAAGAAAAGACATCTTGCTGTGGTACCTCAGTGCAGCCTTCACCGGGTGCCTGTGAGCACCACCTTGCAGTGCAATAACCTGAGCTGTAAATACAGCTTATCCAAAACACAGATCATTGTCCTTTGAATGAGAGTCCAAGCGGGACAGTTTCATCCAGCTAAACTGTTGATTTTACTATTTTTGTGACAGATATTATTTTGCATTATCATATGTGTTTGGAGATCTTAGAAGTAATTTTGTTACTACAATGCATACGGGAAGCAAACTTTCAATTATGTGTTAACCTGCCCGGTTTTCAGTGTTTTCTAACAAAACTTGAGGATATCTTTGTGGATCTAGAGCTTATCAAGACTCTTTATAGCTGCCTGAAAGCAGAGGCAAAAATATCTGTGGTTTTCAATCTTGTGTTTATTAATTTTATATTTATTATTTATTTATCCTCCATGTGCATATCTTCTTATAAAGAATCAGAATTTTGGGAGTTTTTGTTTGTTTTTCTGTTATAAAAATTGTGGTAGTTTTAAATATTTTCTGAGCCAAAGGTCTTGTTTAACTTTGTGACCTAGGTGCAGTTTAAAGTGAATTATGATATTCTGTGACTTCTTAGATTTTGGCTCGCAGTCTTTAGATGCTTTCATTCCCACACCTGCCATCCATTAGGAGACCTCCTTCTGTGATCTTTCATCATCCAGAATATATGATGATTTTCTTAAACACTTGAGCTAATTGGGAGTGATTCTGGCTTTTAAATATATGGCAGTATTTGTAAATAGCAAACACTGGGCAGGCTTGAAATAAATATGTGCAATTTGGCAGGAATTGTTAAAAAATGCAAAGCCACTTTCAAATGCCATTTAAACATCCAAATTACTTCCAAAGGGGGCTGTTGGGCACAGGGCAGGCCAAACAGACCCTGTTCCCTGGAGAGCTTGCTGAGAGTCCCAAATGCTCATCTGCTGATGCCAGTGCTTGTCCTTCAGCCTGCTACCTGCCACCAGACTTTATACAAAGTACACTGGTTCTAGTCTTTGAGAAAGCAGCATCATTTTTGTGTAATATAAATAAATCCCTCCTAATGTCCCACTTACTGTGCATCCTGCCCTGCACAGCAGCCTGAAGAGATGGAGTGGCTTTGGGCCCTAATATCAAGGGAGAAGTGAGAACTCAGGAGTCCCACAAAGGTTTTTATGAATTGAAATAGCTGCACATGTCCTCTCCTGGTCTTCCTTGTTTTAAGCCAAACCTGATATTCAATGTTTTTGTACTTTCTCATAACCTGACTTGAATTTCCAGTTGCAAGAGTTCTTTCATTGACTTTCCAATTCTTGATTCATGATTCTTTCTCCAATCATCTACTCAAGAGAGCCATGACTAGATGACTGGAGACCCCAAATGAAAAGAAAGGCATGGTTTGGGTTAGAGCAGTGCTATCAAAACTCAGTGTGTTTAAAAAACCCCCGAAGAGGTGAACCATAACATCTGTCACCCCTAGATAGAAAATTCTGAATTTAGCATTGACTTGCATCCATAACAGAAAAAGACTTTAAAGCCTGAGCGATTGACAGGGCTAAATGTGTGTTTTTAGCAGTTGTTTATGTGGTCCATGTCTTACTGGGTGCTGCTCTGGGCAGCCCCTGGCAGCAGAGGTGGTGTGTGCACATGTGGGATGGTGCTCAGGAGAAGGCACCATCTTGGACGGACCCAAAATCCTGGAGGTTCCCCAGGGCAATCCCATCCTTCCAGCCTGGCTCAGCGAAGCCTGGCTGTCCTGTGGGGACAGCTGGGGTAGCCTGAGGGTGCGTCCTGTTCACAAGGCAGTAACCTTGTTTTTGGCTAAATAAACCCGTGAGCTGTGGGTTCCTGTAGGGTGTATCACAGTCCTTAGCAAGGGACACCCCAGGCTCTGGCTTCCAACCAGATTTCCCGTGCTCACATCTTCCACTCTTATTTACAAGTTGCTCAGGGAGTGAGTTGGTCCCTCTGGAAAGGGGCACAAGGAGCTGAGCGTGGATTTTGCCCCCCAGGAGCCGTGTCCCAGCTCCTGAGAGCGCTCTGGCTGCATGAGGAGCTGGCTGCTGCCTGTTCTCTTCTGCCTTCCTGTGCCTCAGCTCTGTGTGATCAGAGGAGCGTCAGGAGGGAGCAGCTCACTGCTGCTTGCAAGGGCTGTGAGAATAAGTAAAAATGCTAAAAAAGGAGCAGCTTATGTTGGCGTACCCGAGGTACCCGATGGCTGGTTTTATTGTATTGTGAGATTGGCAGATGTGCTGGAAGATAGTGCACTTCCAGATGCAGTGTGAAGTCATTTATGAGGTGCCAGAGGCAAGAGCTGGTGTGCATGGTTCTCTTGCCTGGTTCTTGCTCAGGCCAGCACCAGATGCAAGCTCTGTATGAACCCAGAGCATCCTGAAGCTGTGCTGAGATCGGGGAACCAAAATTTAAGTCTATTTCCAAAAAGTAATTTGCATTAATTTGCAAACCAACTTTTGTCTTCCTATAGGAGCTACTTGGCCTGCTAAAGACAAAAAAAGCGAACGGCAGGAGAACTGAAATGAGATGTGGACGCAGAAGAAGCAAACAGCAGCACAGGGCTGGGAGAGCAGCTTTCAAAGGCTGAGTCTGCAGTTGGGGGAATGAAGGTGCCAAGTCAGTAACCTTTTATGTCATGGCATGAACTGTAATGAGTCAAGGCTCTGTCAGGGGAGGGCAAACTGAGCAGCTCTGCCAGGCTTCCAGCCACTTTTGGCTATGGCAGCTTTTAGGAGAGCAGCTGACAAATCATCCCAGTGCTGTGGTGGGGTAATAAGAGAGGCTCACTGGGTTTGAAGCTTAAGTAACTCACGTATGAAATGCTCTCTGCATGGCTGAAACCTTCTCAGAGTTGTGACATGATCACTCTGGGCTTGGGACTGTGCAAGGAAAACAGCTGCTCTGTATTTTGGTGTGGCGCTTTGACACGTATTTGGGGCAGATCTCAGCGAGTGCTTTGCACTGCTTCCTTTTGGTATTCCTGTCCTGTATGCTCAACAGATTTAAAACAAGGCATGCAGATGGGACATCTTCCTCTTTTGCTTGCACATTTCTTTTCCAGCAGGATGCTCGCCAAATGTTCTTCATTCTAAAACACACTGAGAGCTGCATGAGATGATAAACACCAAGGCTGGGGACTCCAGGGAATGGGAGAGCTTGGGCTGTCTAAAAAATAATCAGCCTTGAGAGGAGGATACTTCCATCAGTAACTCTTGTGCTCTGAGCCTGAAGAAAACATGTGCTTCTCTTTCTCTATCTTGCCCTCCCTCTTTGCATGCTTAAAAAAAAAAGTAATTGTTAATAGTTTAAAACAGGTTTTAAGCCAGAATTTTTAAGAGCTGCAAACAGACTTACTGGCAGGTTTTCAGATCTCTCATGGCAATCAAAAGCAGCTGATGCGTGTTTTGCAATCTATTTTCAGACTGCCAGAACTTATGACTCAATTAATAAAACAAATGTGCCTATCAACTACAGCATAACCCTTTTGACCTTAATGAAGCCCTAAATCTTTAGCAAATTTGTTTCAGGATTTCAAATGTAGACAGAGCTAATATCTGCACTTGTTGCACTATAGTTTATTGCCTCGCCTTGCTGCTGGTGTAGCCCTTGCTAAACTTGTGACCCTTGCCTGCACACACCCTTTCCAGATGACCGGCAGTTTGGAAAAGCTCATCAGACAAGAAGTCGCATTTCTGTGCCCTGTTACTTGATGTAACTTCTGTCTGCCTAATTGGAGGCCAGGACAAGCTGCTCCTGCTCCCTGCAGCAGCCAGGCCGGTGGCACTGGGGCAGGAGCTGTGTGCTCCTCGCGGAGCAGGACGCTGCAGCTCCCATCCCCTGCCCTGTGAACACTGCAGCTCCCGTCCCCTGCGCTGTGCTCGCTGCCAGGAGCCTCTGGCACTTCTCAGCACAGCGGGCTCGATCCCAGGTTTGCACGGTTTTCTGCAGAGTGACCACAACCTTTTAATCACTGTGAATGGATTCCCTGGCAGCTGTGATGTTTCTGGGTGTGCAGCCCGGGCTCCAGACTGTTTGTTTGCCTGGTGCAGAGATGGGATCCAGCCACAGAGCTGGACCAGTGCTGGCTTGTGCTTCTGTAGAGACAGACATAGGTCTTGACATGGGCATTGCAGGCATTCAGGAAGGGTTTACTGACGCTTTAAAATGGTACAGAAATGGAGTAAAAAAGGTAGTGATTGGAACATCTCCATGGTTTGGAGTCATTAGTGAGTTTTGTTACTTTCTGAAATAGGATTAAAGAAGGTAGAGCTCTTGTGAGGGGTCCTGTCAGCCTCCTTTGCTCTTTAAAACCCAGTTCTAGCTATGAGTGCCAGAGTGAAGGGTGAGGAACATCACATCACATCACATCACTCTCTGCTGTGCCACCCGAGGCTGTGTCAGAGCAAACTGCTGAGGAGGAGAGGTTGGTGGAGCTGGTTCTTGAGATCCAGACAAACCTTCAGCAGCAGAGGGCACGGGCCTTTGTGCTTCCCCAGCTGCCCCTCAGCCCTTCTGTCCTGTGCCCTGGGCACAGCAGTGGCTGCAGCTCCCTGGGGAACTCTGCCAGTCCCCAGGACTGAAGGGGAACCTGTTTGCTCCACAGCTCTTCAGTGGAGGGTTCTTGTGAACTTCTGGAAGACAATAACTGAGTAGTCAAGGTCAACAGACTATTAAAATCTGAATTGTATTGTATCCATTCTCTCAAGGACATAAAAAAAGGGAAAGGCATTGCTTCCCAGGAGCGCTGAGCAGGCTGGCAGAGAAAATTGAGTGTAATAACACTGCTCTCTGCACTTTCCTTTGTCTCTTCTGCTTATGGCAAGTGTTCTTCTCACAAATCTTCTACCCTAACTTTTATGCAAATTCATGAAATAGTTGAGCTTGCCGGGGATCCTCACAGCCCTGACAATGTCAGCACAGTCAGGTAACTCACTGAGCTTAGTATATATATGTATAGTCTTCTTGTTTAACCTGTTAGACTGCTTAAAACTACCTTTACAAATATGAATTAACTTTGTTTCCAGATCATAACAGCATTTTAATAGTCTATTAGAGGGGGAGGAAGGTGATTTAAGGATTGAAGGGGGAGCCTAAATGAGTTTCAATACTGTGACTGAGCTGTTTCATTGTTTTGATTTAAATCTCATTGTTACCTTCATTCTCTGCATGGATTGAGTTGAGAGTACAGCTCTCATAGATTTAAGCAGACCAGGGGAGGTGGGGTGAATTTCGCTCAGGTTTAGTCCAGGCTTGCTGAAAGCAGCACATGCAAGGTCCTAGCCTGCCTTTGCTGAGGAGGAAGAGGCCGGGCAGTGTCCTGGGGAAATCTCTCCCTTTGCATTCTCCTGGCTGCTGATGGTTCCAGCCAGGACAGCTCCTGCTGCCCCCACAGTGGCTCTGTCAGGCACCAGAGACTTTTCTCCCCTGGCTTTCACTCACTGCCTCCTGCCAAACGGGGTGAGCCCCATGGGGGTCAGGGCAGGGCGAGCCCCCCAAATGCCCCTTCTGCAAGGCACTGCTCTGGGACCTGCCGGGGCACAGAGGGGAGAGGCACCAGGGCAGGGCAGGCCCCCTCCTCATCCTCCTCTCCTCGGCCTCCACCCCAGGGTGCCGCAGGCTCTGGAGAGACCCCGAGGAGTCCAGCTGGCAGCAGTGCAGCCAGGGGCCTGGGCAGCTTCCTCTTTGGCTGGGCAGGACTTTTTTCATGTCACTGTTTTGTCCTAAATTGTAAAAACAGCGTAAGCAGCAGTGCTTAGAGTACACTGGGCACCCCATAGGGCCAGGAAACAGGTGGCCTACTCAGTCTGCAGAATTGTCTCTTTCTGAGCAAAGTGGGGAAAAATGGAAAACTCTTACATTTCCGAAACACCAAATTTTAAAAAATCGTTATTATTGTTATTTTACTGAAAGAACAGTCTGATATTGAGACAGGAAGAGAGGGTTGTTTGGGAGGCAAAGCAAGGAGATGAACTTACTTTTTCACATTGTTTTTTAGGAAAATGAGAACTATGGTTATCCAGTACGTATGTGAGATCATACAGTAATTCAGATCTGACAGGACTTAGTGTTTGTACAAACCCCACTCCTCCCCTCTTCTCCTCAGTGTATTTTGAATGAGAGAACCAAAGTGATATGCGTTTTAATGAGACTGGAGTAATTTCTGATACCAGATCTCTATGTGATTTCTTAAAAATAATTGACATACCATATAATTTGATTTGATTCTATCTTTATGATGATATTACTTTTTAAAATGCAATAATAATAAGAAAGTTGCATCCTGGATGCTCAAGGTGGAAGGTGTTGCACAGTTCAGCTTATCCCAGTCGCAGTCCATTCTTGCTTAGCTCTGAAATGAGAGCAATAACCATTATCTTTTCTCTTTTAGCTCCTTAGCAGCTTTGACTATAAGCCCTTTGGATCTCATAAATAGATGTACACTACGAAGCATGGTGCCTGGCAATTCCAGCTGGGGACTCCTAACAGTCTGCTAATTAAAATATAAACGTTGTGATGCAATAGATTGATTGCATTGTCTTAAGCAGTTAAAACCTTGAGACAGCTTAGAGGGAAGGGCTGAAGTATAGAATAAAACCACTGCTTTTCAGATACAGTAAGGCCAATTAGTCCTGCCTGTTGTAAGCTTCTATAGGTGTCTGTCCAGAAACTCCCTGAGCGAATCCCTGCTTCATTTTTACAAGTTATGGTTTCAGTGATCCTGAACTCTTCTTGAAAACTGACTTCAATAATTTATGTATTGTAATAATAATCAGCTTTGTAATAATTATCAGTCTGTGGGGCTGTTATTATCAATTTAAAATGGTATATCACAAACTAAACAACTACTTTTAAAAATCCCCCAACTCTATATTTAAAACAAAAAATAGTCCCCTGCAGCCTGTATAAAAAAAAAGTAAAAAGTCAAGCTTGATCCATAAGCTGACAATAGTAAGGAAATTCAGACATGAGCAGGGAAGTGTTCCATATGTTCTCCAGTACCTAGGCACAACTGGGTGCCTCTTTAATGATGAGCTGAATGCTCCCTGTTGTGCCTAGGTACTGCAGAACATATGGCGTGCTTTCCCCCTTAACTGTGAGTTTCCTTGCTGTTGTCAGTAGGTGTCTAACTCCGCTGTGTTTTAATATAGTGTTTGTGCCTCTGAGCACAGGCCAAATTTGATCTTAGGCAAATAGGAGGGTGGATACAGCTGCTGATTATCTCATATTCTTCTTGAAAGCATATTTCAGTACATAATCTGGATTATATAAACACACCTTGCAATTGTTAATCAGGACCCTCAGAGTTTAAAAATCAGTCCACTGTGCTCCAAACTTAGCATGGATGATAAATGACTCTTTAGTTGCCAATATAGCACAATATTTCAATTTCCTGCCTTCACAGAGGTATTTCAAAGGTTGAACGGAGTTCATACTCACAGTATGTGTTGCCTAGAACTCTGTGATCTCTTGCTGGCAAACTTTAAGCAAAACCTTTTCAATTAACAAAACGCATTCCTCGTGGAAATCAGCCAACCCAAAGCTGGACAAACAGATTTTCAGTGATACTTTGCAATAACCTTTGCCTGCTCCTGGCTCTGGATAAGTATAGACAGAAT